TGGAGCAAAAGAGGCACTGGAAATGGAAGCTTGTTGCAGCCCTCGTCTTACTATTCTGGAATGTGAAGTGTTGCGGAACAGTGGAAGACTCAATTCTACTTTTAAAGTCTCATTCAGTTCTCCTATTTGAATTTTCAAGACAATTTAAAGACAATTTAAGATGTGATTTTTTATAAAAATTACCGTTATAAATTAAAATTTAAATTGATAAACTGAATAAATGATGATACACTTTATAAACTTTTGAGGACGCCTTTATACGAAAATATAAAAAAAGAGTTAGAAATTTTTAATGTAAACATTTTTAATTGGTTATTTTATTACTAGGAAGTTACTTCTTTTTATGGCCACTGAAACGTCATGTCCAAGATTATGAATTTTTCACGTCCTTGATGATCACACCATTCCTGGAAGGGGAAGATAAGAAAGTAGCTGAAAATTCTCTTTTTTTTTTTTTTTTTTTTGGCTGAGTAAAGTTGGAAATTATTTTGATTGCCTTGAATTTCGTGGAAAGTTCTGGTTACTCAGCTCAAACAAAAGAGAACGTTTAAGCTACCCTTTTCTTTTCTTTTTTCTTATATGTATATTTTTACAAATAAAAAAAAAAAGGGTAGATTCTCAGTGCGCGTTATTGTCGCACTACGCGTAATATGCATAATTCTAAGGCAGTCGGTGAAGGAGGGTTGGAGAGTGTAATCTGGCTGGTTACAGTGCAGCTTTGTTCATTTTAAGTAATAACTTCTTTTTTTGATCACATTCGCAGAACTGCTAATAGTACCGCACCAGATAACTTATGTGGATCATAAGGACTTCTTTAGTCGAGGCTTAATAATAATAATAATAATAATAAATTTATAAATTGTCTCTTTTTTTCTCTCTGTGTTTGTTATGAGGATTCAAATTATAGTTTGTAGTTCGTTACAGTATTTTTTCTCACAAAAAACACATGTAAATTGAAAATGATTCTGAATAACGATTATGAATAATCAAGTCATTTGTTTTATAGATAGTCTTAGAACTGAAAATATGTTACATGAACTTATTGCCTCTTTCAAAATTTAGTTTTCAATAGTCAAGTATTTATTTTCTCCTTACTAAAACATAGCTAAGAGTATTAATTGAACCGTTTTTCTTCCCCGCGGATGAAATATTCAAAGAAGACGCAAGGCCAAGCACAATTGGCAATTACTATGCCGAAGGTTATGACAGTTTGGTAGGCAAGATTGCTTTTAAATTGATGCACTTTATGTGTGAAAAAGTTTTTTTTTTTTTTTTTCTCACTCCTTCACGGAGGTTAAGAATTTTCTTTAATTTTTTATTTGCATTTTATACTTTGTCCAATTCAATTCTTTAAAATTCCTATAATAATAGTTTCTGTCTCTATGTTGTTTAGAAAAAAATGATAATTAGAATTACATCGCTTTTAGCTTTATGATGCACTGCTCCACTGTCAATAGAATATTAATACTGATTTCATTCAAATATATAGTTCATTAAGCTATGATATTGTACTCTATTGAACGTACGGCAAGTTCAGATTGGCGAAATTCAATAAAATAATCAATAAACGACAAATAAAAACAACTTTTCTTGTGAGCACTACTAAAGACAACTTGTGAATTATATATTTTTACATAGATATAGTGCCACACCCCTCTCATAAAATACTACTATTCTTCTAAGAACTAGACTTTCTCCAGAGCAGAAGCAGTACACTTATCATGATCATTGTATTTCTGATCAGGACAAGAAGAGCAAGAATTAGTGCTGATTTTCTCACCGGTACTATAATTCGAAACATTCGGGCCATTTTTCTTGTCGTCGTAGATGAAATACACGAAGAAGATGCAAGCACTGCCGGCAATCACCACGCCGAACGTTACGACAGTCATAGTAAGGCTACCAAGCGTGCAAAACTGATATGCAAAGACGAACAGGATGGCGCTCGACAAGCCCCATGCGGTGATCTTCAGCAACAATTTCTTCGTTGATTCCTCGTTCTGAGGCAACCGGTTTAAGGCTCTGAAACATATCTGCAACACGAAGTATCCTATGAAGACGAATGCGATGGAAGCGACCATGGCGATGTCGTTGTTAGCGTACGCGCGGTAGCTTGTGCTGATGCTGCTGATCGTGAGGTTGACATGAGCAAAGATTGGAGCAAATGTTATAATTTCCTTACCGAAGTTGGGTTTTTTGACGTTGCAGCTAGTGATGCTATTATTCGGGACTGACGTCGTTTTGTTCTGGCAACTCTTTGGCAACATTTTTTTTTTGCAAGCGCGAGAGTGTTGCTTTCGATTTTTGAATTGGTGTCGCTCGGAGTAGAGTGGCAGTAACGGCGGATATGGCCTGAGAATTGGGTGATTTGACTTTTATATAGAAGATCATCAATGCACGAAGATGTCTAGAAGGTGCGTTTTCATGTATTTCTATGATTCTAGATGGAAGATGCCTAGAAGTTGCTACATTAAAAATTTTTGCTTTTAGTTTTTGCTAATGAAACGTCATGATCAGTCATGACCAAGAATACGTTATGAAATTTTCAGGAAGAAAAGAGTTGGAAATTCTTTTGATTGGGCCACGAAGTTACGAGGAAGGTGCTCGTTACTCGGTTTTGACCAGAATATAACGTCTAAATTATACTTTTTCTTTCAAAAAAACATTATTTATGAAAAAAGAACCATATCAATAGGAGACAGTTTTTAAGGGGAAAAAAAAATTCCGGGAACCAGGGAATTCAAATTCGAGACCTTAAAATTGAAGACATGAGAGTGGATTTACAGTTAGATTATGTGTACAAATTATAGGACCGAGATTTTAAATTTTTAACCTTCAAATAAGAATATAATCGTTTCACATATATTAAAACAAAAGTATTATCATTTAACATAACTTTAAAAGAAATATAATAGTTAGAAATTGTGTTATACCAGTATTTTTTTTTTCAACATATAAAAGAATTGATAGTCAACTCTGTAGCAAATTGCAAAACCAACCTTTTACAAAGAAAAAAAAAAATCTTTGGTAGGGTTAGGAGAAAAAAAGGTTTAGCAGTAAGCATAATTCTAAATCATTAAATTTTTATAAAGTTTAATTAAATCATAATACTTTTCTTAAACTGCTACCGATAGAAATAGAGGTTTGTTGTCGATTGGCTTGACTCCAGGATTCATTAAGAACTCCTTTAAAGCGATCTCGCACTTTTCATCCACTAGAAGGTCTTCTTGCCCTTAAGGAGAGTGATGAAGCAAGGGAAGCTGCTCGTCCAATTAGCTTTTGAATTACGTACGCTTTTGCACCTTAGAGAAGGCATACCAAGAATGCCCAAATCTAGTCAGGGCTGGCCTCGATTCCCGCTTGGTGACTAAGGTTGTGTTGATAGGAATGGTTCAAATCAGGGTGGTTTTTAGTTTTAGAATTAGAACTATGATTTATGATTTGAATTTAGAGTCTAAATCATAATTCTGGAACCGAAATTAACACTAGAGGTTTGAATCATTTAAAATTAAAGGGGAATGTAGTTTTATTTTTTAGGGTGGTTCTAATTTAAAACATCACATCATAATTCAAACCTTCAATCAGAACTATCTAAACCAAACATTGATTTTCAAGAACCATTTTTTATTTTTGCAAACAAATAAAAATTTAAACTAGAATCATAGAGCGCGTTTGGAACTCGTTCTAAAATGATTTTTTTTTATATGAAAATGAAAACGTTTTCAATCTCAGACATAAATTCTTTTTGAAAATGCGTATGGTAGCTTTATCAAGAGATTGTTTTCAGTGTAAAAAAACCATTAATGTCTCTCTTTCTCTTCTCTGCTCGAGAGAGGAGAAATGAAACAAAAAATGAAAAACGATTAAAAGTCATTTTTCATTTCTCTCTCTCATTTTACACTAAATTAAAAATTTATTTTTATTTTTATTTTTTATTTTTATTGCGCCAAACGTTGTTTTAAAAATATTTTTATTTTTTTAAAAAAAATATAAAAAATAAAAATAAGATTAATTCTAAACACAGTCATAATTTTAATTCTAGAATTTTCAACGCAACCTAAATAGCCGAAGATATATCCACGAAAGTGACGCTAAAGAAGCACGCGATCAGGTCAACTTATACCAGTACCTCCCACGACCACTGTGAGCATTCTTCGCGAGTGTTACGAGTTTGCTCTGTGTCTTTTTTTTTTCTTTTTCTTTTTTAAATAGCTTTCATTTTGCTAATTGTTTAATGACTTGAGTGTCAGAGCTTTCTAACTACTTAATGCAGGTTTTCTTCAAGGAAGACACTTAATTAGGTGAACAATTATTATGATAATTAAAAGAAATAAATAACTTAATTTAGTGGATATGATTTCTTTATGTTTGTAGTTATTTAATAATTTTTGTTCGGTTTGATCACTATAAATTGTCATTTAAAAGTATTAGTAATTTTATACATACAATTCTAGATAATTTTCTCACAAATACTACAGTAAATGTTTTTTAAATCAAGATCTAGCATTATAGATGGTTTTTGTAATTCCCCTTTCCTAATTTTCTCATCCTTTTTTCCCATCTTCATTTACACCATCACTTTTGCTACTGTAATTTTAGCAAATAGTATGTTATCATATTTTTAAGACGATTGAAGTAAATAGTCATAAATAAACACAATATTTTCACCAATATTTACTAATAAATACTCTATTTATATCAGTAAAAAAAATAATCACTAGTAAATATGATATTTACTTCAATCTTTTAAAAATATGCTTGCTTAATTAAAAACCTTTATTTGTAGCTTTAAAAAAAAAAAAAAAAACTTTATTTGCCTCTTGAGTCCCTTGCCTCTTTTACCCTTTATGTTGGAGACTGGAGTAATGGAGTTTAAGAGCCCAATATGATTCAGCCCATTATAGCCTTGACATGCCAGGCCTGGCAGGCCCTAACGAGCCCAACTCAAGCTCAACCGCTCTAGCATTGTCCCGGACTCCAGTTCAGAGTCCAGAGAAGTCCGACAGACAATCTCACAAGAGACAAGACAAAGTCCAAACAATGGCGTACGGCGGTGCGGCGGTGGGCGCGCCACCAATGGGCGGTTCTTCATCATCAGCGTCGACGGTCCGGCAAGTGAAGTTGGAGCGAGAGAGCGAGCTCCGAATCGAAGTCGCAAACGACTCTCCTCTCCGCCTCCGCGTCCTCAACGGCACCGCTGAAATCTTTGGCACCGAGCTCCCTCCCCAAATCTGGCTCTCGTTCCCTCCCAGGCTCAAATTCGCCGTACGCTCTCCTTTCTCTTTCACTCCTTACCTTTTCGTTTTTCTTCTAAGACATAACTCTTTCTTTTTCTTTTCCGAGAAAAGGTTTTCACTTGGTATGGAGCCACCATTGAACTGGACGGCTCCACCGAAACCGACTACACTGCAGATGAGGTAATTTTGCTTTTAATTCTTCTCTCTCTATCAATGAATGATTGAGGATAGTTGTAATTGCAAGTAGTCTTTTTTTTTTTTTTTTTTTCAGACGCCTATGATCAGCTACGTTAATGTGCACGCCATTCTCGATGGTCGAAGAAACCGTGCTAAAGCTTCATCTTCTGACGCTTCCAATGCGTCTCAGGTACTTCTATGTTTGTAATTATGTGATGTTTTAAGCAAAGAGAACTTTTGATATCCCAAATTAGTGATTGAATCTAGGATTAAGTTTTCTCTGATATAACAAAGCAATGGACTTTTGATTTCAATCTGTGGTAATCTGTGTTTAGGCTCCTAGGGTGATTGTTGTGGGACCTACAGATTCTGGGAAGAGTACTTTGTCAAGAATGCTTCTTAGCTGGGCAGCTAAACAGGGTTGGAAACCGACTTTTGTAGACTTGGATATTGGGCAAGGGTCAATAACAATCCCTGGTTGCATTGCTGCTACTCCCATTGAAATGCCTATTGATCCAGTAGAAGGAATTCCTCTTGATATGCCTCTGGTTTACTTCTATGGACACACGAATCCTAGGTGGCTAATCTCGTTCTGTCGTTTTTCCATTCATTCTCTGTATTTATGAGTTGATTGAAGAAATTTGTAATTTACTCTGGTGTAGTGAGATATCTTAAAAATCAGTTTCTTTATCAGTAACAATGTAGAACTATACAAGGTTCTTGTGAAGGAGCTTTCTCAAATGCTAGAGAGACAATTTGCTGGTAATGCCGAATCTCGAGCTGCAGGCATGGTGATAAATACCATGGGGTGGATAGAAGGTGTAGGCTACGAGGTACTTACGTTTCAAAACTTCTTATATTTTAAATTTTTTGGACCTGTTTGCTTAATGATATTTTTCTGTTGCTTCTATCTGCAGCTGCTGCTTCATGCGATTGACACATTCAATGTTAATGTTGTATTGGTTCTGGGTCAGGTAGATGCCTTTAGGATATATATATGTATATATATAATTATATATATATATATATATTTCCTCCTGTATCCGGTTCTGTTTTCTTGCGAAATAGTTTATTTTGTGAACATTCTGATGAACTTGAGAAAAAGTTTGAGATTTGCTTAAGTAAGATGTATTTACATATCCCAAATTTAAAAGTATATGAGAAAAGAAGTTCATGACCATTTCCATTTCTTTTTATTGGGATCATTTACTATTTTATATGCTCTTGATGCCAATACTTGGTTAACAGTTTGTTTGGAATTCATGCAGGTTAAATTGTTAATCTGTTAACTGTTTATGGTGTTCTTATTGTTCCCAATTTAGTCCCAAGTACTATATGCTCGTGAACCATCTAGGATTTAGAGATATGGATTATTTAATTAGGCTTCAGTGAAAATTACAGATTTTCTTCTAACTTCCATTTCAGGAAAAGCTTTGCAGCATGCTCCGAGATGTCCTAAAGAACAAGCCCATTGTGGATGTTGTGAAACTGCAAAGGTCAGGTGGTGTTGTATCTAGGAATGCCAAATTCCGTCAGAAGGCCAGGAGTTACAGGATAAGGGTAAGTGTTTGAGAAATTGGGAATTTCCTATTTTTGTTCAAATGTTATCTAGACTGGTTAATATCATCTTGTAGTATGTGTTACTGAAAATAGGTTTCTTTTAGTTCCCTCGCCGTGTGTTTGTGAGTGAGCGCGTAGTTATATTTCTATTATTTATATCAAAGAGATTATGCATACTCTTATTGTTAGTAATTCAGAATTGGGATCCAAGCCTTTACACTGTCATGTATTTACCCCTTTGTATCAAGTTCCTTATCCAAAATCATCCAGCCTCGTTGTATGAACTTTTTTGTTTCTTTTTGGCCAAATTGCTTCTCAGAATAGGGGGTTTGTTACGTTGTTAAACTGGTATTCATGTTAGACATTGGTCGTATATCCGGTTTTAGCTGGAGTTGGGATTATTAGTATATTTTCTTCTCACCCTAGTTTCTATTAGGAAATATTCTGGCTGCTTATAGCTTATGAAACCAGAAGAAGAAGTTGATAAAGACATACATGTATAACAATCTTTGAATTCCTTTTGACAAGGATTGATCTGCTCTTTCTCCAGGAATACTTTTATGGTCTTGCAAATGATCTCTCCCCGCATTCTAACATTGCAAATTTTAGTGATTTATCAATCTATCGAATTGGTGGCGGGCCACAGGCACCACGCTCAGCTCTGCCAATTGGTGCAGAGCCTGCGGCTGATCCAACAAGATTAGTCCCTGTGAATATCAACCAGGACTTGCTCCATTTGGTTCTTGCTGTTTCATTTGCCAAAGAACCAGAGGAAATTATTTCAAGGTAATTATTGTTGCTTTATGGATCTGCAAATACTTTGTAACCTAACCTACTGGTTAAGAGGTTAGAAACATGGTGGTTTGAACTTTTGTGGTTTGAAATGGAAAGTTTGAAATATGTGGTTTGAACTTTTAGTTCAAAACTTGAAAACAAGGGGGTTTTAAACTCAGAATTCTCATGGTTTTTTTGGTTTAAAACATCTAATCATTATTTGAACCAAGCCTCAAAAGTATTATGAAACTCTGGTTCAAAACACTTGAACCTATTTACCAAGCGACACTAGAAGATTTTGCAAACTAAAATTATGGTTTTAGTTGAAGTCCACATATCATGTTGGAGGATGTCCTTCTCCCCGCTACATGTGTTACCGTAGGAGGATTGTAATAAGTTCCGGTGTCCCTGCCCATCTCCATGTCTGTAATAAGAATATAATCTTGATAAAATGGTGTTGACTACAATGAGTAAATAGGAGGCTTTTTCAGAACAAAATCCATTGACTGGTTTAGAAATCTGTTTAGTAGGAGGCATTTTCAGAACAAAATCCTCTGTATCTTTCACTCCTCCATGTTACTGATCACTTGGTTCTTTTGTGCAGTAATGTTGCCGGGTTTATTTACATCACGGATATTGACATTCAGAGGTTTGAACTTCGAGCTTTACGGACTTAATATAATCATTTTCTGTTGAATCCTCGGTTTGCTTGACTTATCAATATCTGATAATACAGGAAGAAAATCACGTATCTTGCACCTTCTGCGGGTGAACTTCCAAGCAAATATCTGATTGTGGGAACCTTGACATGGCTCGAAACATGAAGTATCTAGGACGCAAAATTTGTGACTTGCCGTTTATAATCAAAGCTGATAAGGATTCTATGGTCTATTGTTGTAAATTACTTCTGCTGATTTGCGCTGGGAGTGCGAAAGATCAAATGCCTTTGACACCACAATTTTTGGTTTAACTCTGAATTCTCGTCTAGTTTAGTGAGGTAGCTATAGTTTCTATAAATTTCTGTATAGCAACTCTGGACTCTTGTTGTCCTGCAATCTAGAGGAAAAAATTTCTTTCCAAAGTAACTTGTAGGCGTCGAAGATACTATTTTAAAGTGAAATTTATGTCGAGTCATTGTCTGGTGGAATTTGTTTGAGCAAATATCTTGTCGTTTTGGAACGAAGTAATATATAATCAAGCACGTCGTTTTCTTATTGAAACTGGATACTTTGGTTTCCAAAGCTGACTACAAGAAGGAGCAGTTTTCCAATTCCTTGTTGGCTGGCCCTGCCGGCTGGAAATCTTGCTGAAAGAAACGAAGTTAAAGAATTTTCTTTCTTTATTTATTTCTTTAAGTGGTGGACATATTATGTTTGATCTTTTTTTAGAATTACATTTCAAATACACAGTCTACTATTTGAGACTGTGAGAGAATAGAGATAGATGGAACGTGTCAGTTTTTTCAAAGAGAGAACATCTGGACTCCAACACTGCAAATATACTATATTCATATTGATAATAGGAATTCTATATTCTTTTTATTTATTTATTTATTTTTGAAAGAAAAATAATTTTATATTCTCGTGATATAGATGTGAGATTCCGCGTAAATTTAATTATGTGCTCCCCTGATGAATACATGAATTTACATAATAGGATATCTTATTACACAATAGCAAACAAGTGCACATGCCTCCTGCTGAGGTTGCTGCTGACTTCTTGTTTGTACGCAGGCCAGTTATACATCTACATATAAAATACAATAAGATATTAATTGCTTTTGCAGATTAAGATTAGAGTTGATAAACAAAACCATGTACATGTATTGATGATCACCCTTTTCAAATTCTTCTGCCAAAGATTCTTTACATGATTGCCAAAGTAAAGAGAACCTCTTTTTTTTTCATAATTAAGAAATGCTTTTGCTTAGCAATAATTGACATTGTTAAATTAATGGGTTTTTGACAGAAATTCCGTATATTATAATTATTAGTAATACAGCATGTTTTTTTTTTTGTTTTGCTTTTTTTTTAATTTATTCATTGTATAACATAACATGCTGATACGTTCCATATTATCAATAGACAAAATTCATATATACATAAATATGTTAACTTTTGTTTATATAAATATAACATGTCGAAATTTTCTACATCATCAACAGACAAAATTGTATATACAGAAACATGTTAATTTTTTTTTCTTCCCTTTGATAATAAATTTATTATATACAGAAACGTGAATAAAACACTCATGTAATAAATTGGAATTTGGATGGGCCATAAAAGTATTGATCATTTGATCATAAGCAAGTGATGTGATGTTTGGGAATATGCTAAGGCTGCTACTGTCATATGACGAGAGGGTCAATGAAAGCCTTTTTCTCTCTCATCATCTCTCTCACTCTCTCTCTCTTGCCCGTCCTGCCCGAGCTCCTCTGTTTCAAACCCCCCGACCTGCCCCCACCACCGATGATGGAAAAAAAAGGGCAAAAACTTTTCCATTTTCTCTTTCTCAAGCTGCCTCTTTTTCCACGCCTTCCTTTCCTCTCTGCTTTGCCTCTTCCGAATCTCTAAACCCTGTTTTGACCAACCGGGCCTGATCAAATCTTTCATCTCTTCACTTTCACAACCTTTCAGGATAATTCTGAGATGTCGTTTCTTTGTTACCCGAGTTTTTTCTAGGCGGTTTCAAATGGGTTTTCAGAAGAGAGATTTGTGTTTGCTTTGATGCTATTTTAAGTTTGATTCTGAGTTGAAAAGATGGGATTAAGAGGGTCTGATTCTACAAAGTTGGAGGCTTGGAAGGAGATGAAGAAGAAGATGAAGAAGAACAAGGATGTTGGGTCAGTGGACGAAACTGGGTGTTGGGTTAAGTTCAGTTTCAGGAGTTGCATGCCTTCCAGATCAAAAGTTGATAGCTTCATAAGTGGAACTAGTGCTTCTTATGGTAAGTCATCAGTCAATTCCTTTTATGTCGTTTTCTCGATTTTTGTTTTTTTCAATACTGTCTTTTCCTTTTTGTTTTGTTTTTGTAAGTTTTTGGTAGCTAACTCTAATGAATGGGGAATGGCAAAATGGTGTCTGGCGTCTTTGTGAACGTTTTGGCGGTCTAAAAGATTATTGAGCCTTTAGGGAAAATTATTTTTCCTTTATTGTTCATTCTAATACGGAAAGTTCTTTTGTTACAAGCGCTATAGAGAATTAGTTAACTAAAGGCTAGAGCTGTAAGGCTTTTGTGAGATTACAGTTTGACCATGTAGTTTGCGTGAGATAATGAGAGAATTTTATGGATTTTAGCTACTTTTTGAAGAATTAACCAAAGGTTATATCCGAGGGAGCCTTATTGCTTATTCTATGACACACTTAATATTGTACTTTTTGATAGCAATATCTGCAGGGTGGTACCATCACTTAAATTTGTAAGTACGTTATGTAAGGTGGGTTTTTTTTTTGGGTAAATGGTTGAATCTATTTGTTATTCTAGTACTTACAAATAAATTTCATGGTCAGGACTTGCAGAAGTGGCTCCAGTTTGAAATCATGTAGCATTTATTATGGACGTCCATAAAGTGGAAAGCTATGTTATGTCTTTTCACTGAAAATTTGTATGTATGTTTAATTTAATCTTCTTTTTTTTTTTTTTTTCTGGTAGTTAAATCTACTAATGAGAACAATAGAGACCAACAAGTTGCTCCAGTGGGGTCATCAACAACCACCAGTAATGTTGAGAGTACTCTAACCACGCCTGATTACAGCGAGGAACTGAAGGCCGCTTCTCAGCTCCGAAAATTCACATTTAATGATCTTAAGTTAGCAACTAGGAATTTCAGACCTGAGAGTCTTCTTGGTGAGGGTGGGTTTGGTTGTGTTTTCAAAGGTTGGATTGAAGAGAATGGAACTGCTCCTGTAAAACCTGGTACGGGACTTACCGTAGCGGTGAAAACTCTCAACCATGATGGGCTTCAGGGTCATAAAGAATGGCTTGTACGGATTCTATTCATATTTTTTTCCCCGCGTTTTACTTTTTGTATATGTATCATGTTTACTCTTTCTTTCATCCGTATCGTGATGTCTGTGTCATGTCTTGCAGGCTGAAATTAATTTTCTCGGTGATCTTGTTCATCCTAATTTGGTTAAACTGATTGGTTTTTGCATTGAAGAGGATCACAGATTACTAGTTTATGAGTTCTTGCCTCGAGGAAGCTTGGAGAACCACCTTTTCAGAAGTATTTAACTGAACGTTTCAGCGTCTTTTATTTAACTGCATCATATTGACATTCTTTTAATTGAATAATAAAAAGTTTGACATTTTAATAGCAAATTGGCTGTTTGATGCTATGAAGCTTGTAAGGTTAAAATATTACAAAGATAGAACATTCATTTGTAGACATTAAAAGCTTTTCAACGTGACTTAATAAAAGGTATAACAGGAATAATGGTGTTATTAATAGCTAGTGATAGACATGGTCATTATAGTATACCATCCTTTCTAAAACTCAAAACCGCTTAAATCCACGGTTCTACAAATCAAAACTGCTGAATTGCTTGCACAGCTCTATGCCTTAGTGGCAAAATCCACCATTTCAGTATTAGTTTATCCAGTCAGTCCTGTATATGGTCGCAAACCCGTTAAATGTCCAGGAAAATATTTAAATCTTGGATATACTGACACATTTGCTGGCATTTGGAAATTTATTGGTACTATGCCGTTGATCTTTAATATTTTCTGGTTGTGACCATGTTATCTGTAGAAGGGTCAGTGCCACTTCCTTGGTCTATCAGGATGAAAATTGCAGTTGGTGCTGCAAAGGGCCTTGCTTTTCTGCACGAAGAAGTTCAAAGGCCGGTAATTTATCGCGATTTTAAAACATCGAATATCTTATTAGACGCGGTAAGTGACTGTTATGATTTAGACATAACTCCCTTTTCCTCTGTTTATCTCCTAATCTGAAAACTGAAATAATTTGTAGGATTACAACGCCAAACTTTCGGACTTTGGACTAGCTAAGGATGGTCCGGAGGGAGATAAGACACATGTCTCAACACGAGTTCTGGGAACCTATGGTTATGCAGCACCAGAGTATGTGATGACTGGTGAGTTTTGCTGCTATTTTTTCCTACTGCAACAACCAGCTGGCGGTGATAAAATTTTTCAATTGATTTTTCTTGGAATTTTTCATCTTTGTTCTGTCAAGAAATGAGAATGACTGAATGCCGTATTCATATTGTTAAATGTTTCTCTTTGGAACGAATTCATACTTTCACAAAACTTCTTTAGGCAGAAGAATTCGAAAATGGACTTCTGCCATCAATATGAAGACTTGCTAATTGAGTTGCTTCAATTATTTTAAGGATCTTCAGTTATAGAAACTCCTGTAGATCCATGAATGCACCTTTAGTTTTGACTTGGTTTTGCTTAAAAACTAACAAGTTTCTCGGTTCAGGACATTTGACATCAAAAAACGATGTGTATAGTTTTGGAGTAGTTTTGCTAGAAATGCTTACTGGCCGAAGGTCCGTGGATAAAAATAGACCAAATGGCGAGCAAAACCTTGTGCAATGGGCAAGACCGCTTCTTGGAGACAAGAGAAGGTTTTACCGGTTAATGGACCCTCGTTTGGAAGGTCATTTTTCGATCAAGGGTGCACAAAAAGCTCTTCAGATTGCTGCTCACTGCCTTAGCCGTGACCCAAAAGCAAGACCCTTGGCGAGTGAAGTTGTTGAGGCCCTAAAACCTCTGCCAAAACTGAAGGACATGGCCAGCTCTTCCTATTATTTCCAATCTGTGCAAGCAGCTGCTCGCTCCAAGTCCATGCCAAATGCCAGGAATGGCATTAGAACACAGCCAACATTTGCACCAAGGAAAGGAACACCGGCGAGGACCTTGTCGAGCCAAAATCGCGCCCAAGCTTCTCCCCGTCACTACCCTGGCCAGTCACCAAACGTCAGGCCAGCAAATAAGAATGATGGCAACCATTTTTCTGCATCTCCATCGTCTTAATTTACTGTCCTTTTGGATTAGCTTCATCACATTGCACGCCCACAGCTCATACGATGATTTCAATCCATCAGTTCTCCGCAAATTTGTGTTTTTGGCTGTGCATCATCCCACCCATTCACTGGCTAGTAAATTGGCGAAACGAGCCTCAGCAGCCGGTGAGTGATGTGGCACGTTGCAGTTGGTCGTTTATCGGTACCGAAAATATCAAGAGTTGTTGTACACAGACAGATTTGGTAATGTTTACTTTTCACTAGTAAGGACTATGATGATGTAGCTGGACATTGAAGTTTCAAGCCAGTTTGTGTAACATAGTATTTTCTGCTAAATGCCAATATAATCGTATAGTATTGCTGCTTTTTACCTCAATTCCACCTAAATTTTACTATCTTCTATCTACATTGTGAAGTTAGCTTTGTATGACAATCACCAATTATTACTCTTTATTTTTTTTTTCTTTTTTTCTTTTTGGGCTGAGAATAGCACGCTTCCACTTTCACAACTTTGTTTTTAACCCAAAAGACATTACTGAATTTAAGATCACTGATACCAAAATGAGATGAAATGGGAAGGAAAAAAAAAGGTAAATGAATGATTAAAGTGATGACATAAAGAAAAGGAGAAAGAACAGAAACTGTTTTGCATTTCTGTGTAAAGTGAAGGGTGATCAAAAAGCTACTGGTTAGCAAATATTCAGACATTGCAGCTGGTCCCTGCCAGTGCTATGTAAAAAACAGACAGCCTTTTTTTCTGGCTGGAAAAAAAAAAAGATTGGTTGAACTTTTTCAACCCCCGGCTCCCAAAGAAAAAGCAAGATATTCATTTTTGAACAGACAGATTGGTTGAACTTTCTAATGCCACTTTCGTCAGTATTCATTTTTTTATTAAAAAAAATGTGTATTAATAAATAATAATGATAATAATTTTTCGTTTTAAAACTTTGAAACATAACAGAATGTTGACAAGTTAGCACAAACTTTTTCTCCTCTCAAAAAGAAAAAAAAAAAAAAAAAAACACAAACTTTTTAATCAATTGTTGAAAATGAATCAATTGATAATATTCCAAATATAGTACAAATAATAACATTGCATTGAAGAACTTTTGTGCTCAAATGTTATAAATTTTAACACCGACGTATTAATTCAAGCAGTGCATTGTAGATACTCAAGATAAGAATTTAAATAAATAAATAATAAAAAATAACCTACCAAGTTAAAACCTATGAAGATGATTGCAAGGAACAGAATAATATTACAAGCTCGACAAAGGCTTTAATTTGGCAAAACTTTCAGCTTTGCGGTGTTCAAAATGGGCTTTGGTTTGAGGCTCCATATTGGCGGTGTCCAACATCATAATCTGAATCTGATGATCTTTTTCTTTCTTCTCCCTTTCGTTTCTCTCCACCATAATTCTCAATTCCACTTCTGCCTTCTTCCTCTCCCTATGATTAGTTTCTTCCAAGATTTGTAGCTTCCTTTCTTGAGCAAGAGCTTTGCGGCTTTCAATCTCGCGTGCCTGTTTACCGAATTCAGAAAGCAAATCGCAGAAACGCGCGGTTGAAGTATCAACAACAACCACCTTGCTCTTCTTCTTTCTTGATTCTTTTTCGTCTCTCTTTCTCTTAGCATTTATGATCATGATCATCATCTTTAAGTGGATCATGATTGGAGCTTAGAGAATTCGGTGTTTCTGAAGGGGAATGTGGGTTGGGAGACACGTTCCCATTGGCAGAAGTCTGTTTCTTATGTATGGCTGAATCTTGCCACTTCATACTGTATTGCAAGATTTCCCAGCAATGATCAAATGTGAACTTTTTTCCTTCAAGCTGAGTATACAACAGTTTCGCTTGATGAACCTGGACATGGATTATTACAAAATTAGCCATCACATAAAAATAAAAAATAAAAAAAAAAGAGTTGTTAACACTGTCTCTGAAGTTCTAAACTATGGGTATTGTGATTGTTTTGTTCCCTTAAATTTTTTTTTTTTCAATTTTAGTCCTGACACTAAAATTTACTAAGAATATCTGAAATTTAACGGAAATAATCATATACTAATCGCATAATAACTTCAAAAATATTATGTACTAATCGTACTAATCTCATAATAATCATGTACTAATCGGGTCTTTTTTTTTAAATAATAATAATAACTTCAAATTCTTACCTACATTATTACAATCATGTACTAATCGCATAATAATTTCAAAAATCAGGGACTATTCATACTAATCGCATAATAATCATCTACTAATCCCGTGTTGTATAAAAATAATAACTTCAAATTCTTACCTACATTATTACAGTAAACGAAAAATTACCCTCTTCATTGTAATTAAAAACTAGAACATTGTGAAAAAGTCTTAGGTTTCTCTCAAAAATTCCGGGAAAAAAAAGGCGCCAAAAATAACAAAGGGGAAAAAACGACAGAAAAGAAGGCCAAGCGACAACAGACAGGAAAAGGCAAAAGCGAAGGAGGTTTACACGCAAAGGCAGCATTAACGTAATGATCAGGAAAGGAAATTCGGAGAGAAAAAGAAGAATGAGACTAGAAATATTTTCTGACCTTTTCGGCTTGGGAGGCTACGATTTGTTGCATATTGTCTAAGTGAGTGAGGTAACCACGAAACTTAATTGCAACTTCTCCTGATTTTGCCCCAACGAGATTGAATAGAAATTCTTGATCGTGCGCTTTCGTCGTTTGCCTCTTTGATACAGTACTCCAAAACCCGGTCCCAAAAACTATTATTTGATGATGTTTGTAAATTGTTGTCGACTGTGGTGGGATCTTGGCCTTTGGTCACGCTCAATCAAGCATTACAAATCGCTGCATCTTGGTTATTTGTTCCCACGTTTTACTGAGTTTTGTGTTGTTTCTTCCATTTTTCTTTCTTTCTTTTTGTTAATGAGGGAGCGTGTCGTCGTGTATGTTGCAGCTACATAGATAGCCTATATTGTGCATAGCGTTTTAAGCATTTTCTTTTCTTTCTTATATATAAGTATGTAGCATATATTCAACATTGGTTTTTCCTTAACAATGAAAAAAAATTTAGTTTCAAAAAAGTAAAAAGGTAACCATCAAGGGTCGTAGTGTAGTGGTAAGGACGTCTTTAGTAGGTCTGTTCTATCCATCTTTTTAAGGTTTGATAGTCAGTAAAAGATTAATTCAGACCCTTTCTATATAGTTGAAGAGGCTAGGGGACATGAAGTACGCTGACTAAATTCTTTTCTTTTTTTTTTGTTACTAGCAAGAAAAGAAGGGTAAATTTGTGATTAGATGTTGGAAAGTCAACAAGTCTATTTCAAATGCTAAAATTTGACAACTAAAAATGAATGATTATGCCAATTATTGAATATTGTCTACTAAAAAAAGCTACAAACGATAAGCAATGTCACTCCTTGTGAAAAATGACATGTCGTAAAACACGTGAAGAACAGCGGACTTTTAATTGAATGTGGGTTGCTGGGCACTGGGCGTGTCGTTTTGATCCTCCTTGCGCGCGTTAGCATCGAATTCTGAAAGACCAATTGCTTGCAATAGGGCATGTCCTCTTTCATAAACGACAGCAAACTCTGGTATTAAGGCGGCACGTCGTTTTACTTTATAGTTCCCCTATTCAAAAAGATAGCAAACTATTAAAGTACTAATCTTATCTAAGAACGTAGGCATGTCGTTCCAACATAAAAGATAGCAAATCCCGAAAAACGACAAGTATTTCTCTTCTGAAAACAACATCAAAACTTTGGACACAGGAGAAAACAAACTCGAAATGAAAGACAAATATCGCATAACTTAAAACGCAGCAAGTTCTTTTATGTATACAAAAGAAAAACTTGAACCACAGCAATGACGTGATTTTTTATAAAAACTTTTTACTATAAAAAAAAAGGTTAGATATAACTTTTTGTGATAACATTTTACTGTAGTAAATTTAAATTAAAACTCAAATTGAAAAACTGAACGAGCCCGAATCGACATTTTTAAACCAAAGTAGACTTCCGAACAAAAATGGTATGTGATTTTTTTTTTTTTTGAAATAAAAAAAGGGCACGTGGTTTCGTAGGCATAAAAGATGCGATACTTCAAAATAAGAAACTAGCTCTATTCCGTCACGCTCAAGTTATTGCCAAAGCAAACAGATGATATTGAATATTGATTATTGAATAAGTTATTATTATTATTTTTGAATGTAACAACTCACTGAGTCTTATTAGTTGAAAAATGTGGAGGTCTTTAAAAAAAAGAAAAAAAAAAAGAGACTCATTCAAGACTGATGTCTCACCTATAGTACTACTCTTGACTTTTTGTGTTAATAGTAAAATATCTGAGTCTCACATTATCTAAATATAAATATTAGCACAACCATATAAGAATATTGAATCATCTCACTTAAACATGTTAACTTTTTAAGATACAAATTCAATATCTTATAAACTACAATTCTTCTCCCTCACTTTCTTCTCATTTCTCTTAAAACTCTATATTTTGGAGAGTGAATTTCGGTTTTTTTTTTTTCTCAATGTTCCTTTGCGCCCCCCTCATCTTTTTTTTTTTTTCCTTCAATGTTCCTTAATTGACTTTTTGTGTTAATAGTAATATATCTAAGTCTCATATCATCTAAACATAAATACAACTACAACTATATAAAGACATTAAATCACCTCACTTAAACAGGTTAACTTTTTAAGATGCAAATTCAATACCTTATAAACTGTAATCTTCTCCCTCACTTTCTTCCCATCTCTCCTAAAACTCTATATTTTGGAGAGTGATTTTTTTTTTCTTTCTCAATGTTCCTTTGCGCCCCATGTGACGACCCTCTTTTGAGGCTGCCACTGTTACTAACTTTTTAACTTGTACTTACTGGGGTTTCTTAAAATTTGCGGAACATTTTTTTTTTTAATATAAGAAATAATACTTTCATAATTTGTAACAATAATTTCAAATAAGTGAATCACTAAATTTCTAAAAGCTTTTCTTAATTTCAGTTAAGATAAAACGTTCTAAAAATATCTTTCAAACAGAGCAGCATTTGAACTCTTATTTCAAATGCTCTTTAAAAGCCTTTCTAAAACTAGCCAATTCAATCGGGCCATTTAATTTTGACTTTAAAACGGATTTCGTGAGAAATCTTAAATTAAAGTACATCTTAAAGCCCTTTTAAAATCAATCATTTAAATCGTCATGTTTAAAATTTATTTATTTGTTGCATGCTCTGTTGCAACGTTCTAAAACTTAAATACTCAAAATGAGGGTTGTTAGCTACAACCTCAGTTTCCTTAACATACATATGTACCTATACTTTTTAAACATACATGCTTGAAACCTTTAAATCATATATACATATACATGATTTTTCTTA